GAAATACTACTAAATATACTTAATGTAAAAATATCAGAGGTGATACTTTCAAAATTGTCAAGTTTTAGTATATTCCATGACTTTTTAAATCTTTTAAATAATAATATCTCAGGACCTGATGAACTTCCAATTGCATAAACAACTATTGTTTCCAGCATGATATCCATAATGTGATTTCGGCAAGATAACATTTCTTTGTCTATATATTGCTCAAGAAGAATGCATGCTCCATTCCTAAGTCCAGTATTTACAGTAGTAGTGTCAAAGCTCATACATTTAATTTTTTCACAAAGCCCTCAAGATATTGCTGTTTTATAAACTGCTGAAGCTGTTTATTGGCCTGTTGAAGTTAGTCCACACTTTTACCTGATACCAAAATTGGAAGACTGTCTACAGTGTCATGCCCAATAATATCTTCTATAATCTTTCCATCACAGTGAATAGTCAGGGTAACTTCTGGTTTAAATGCGTTTTTCAATGACTCTGCAATTTTTATGAATGTGTTAAAAGTTTCATAAATTGTCTTATTGCTTGAAGTGCTTGAGGATATATCCATGTTTACAGTTGAGTTCTGACGTTTTGACTCATTGCAGAGTCCATCTTCAGAGTGATTGTTGCTAGTCGGTGGCTGCAACTGTACTAATAGTATAGTTTATTGACCCTCTTGTGGAACACCAGATGGGGCTAAACATAGTTTAGACTTCATACCAAATATCTTAACCCATTGGTATCGATCCTGAAGATAGGATTTAAACCAAGATAGTAGAGGTTCACCTAAACCAGATTCACCTAAAACACTAATAAGAGCATTATGATTTACCGAATCAAAAGCTTTTTTTTAAATTGGTATATATTACATCCACCTGAGAACGATTCTATAAATGAGTCGAAAATATAATTACAGAATAGGAGATTATTTGTGGTGGTTGAACGACCTGGACGAAAGCCATGCTGTTCTTTCATAATCACGCTATTTATAGAAGGTTGGATGGCTTTTAAGACTAATGTCTCAAATATTTTTGATAAATGTGATTGGATAGAGATGGGTCGGTAGTTAGAAACTATAGACGGAGAGCCTGATTTATGAACCGGTGTAACTGAGCTAAACTTAAATAACGTCGGAAAAATACCATCATCAAGTGATCGTCTAAATAGTATCCACAGCGGATACGCCAAAGCTAACCTTAGCACACATAAGAATGACCCGGCGAAGCCATCAGGTCACATGGACCAGTTGCCACGAAGACTTGAAAGGCTTTGGAAAATTACATCAATGATAAAAGTAACATTATTTAGTAGGTCATAAGTAAAAGTACCCAATTTTTCTATGTCAACCTCATTATAATCTGTAGAATAAACAGATGAAAAATAATTTGATAACAAATTAGCTGTCTCCTGTTCATTAGATGTACTATTACCATTTAATGACATAATTTTGGGTATGGTTTTACTAGAACGTTTGTTGTTTACTGTCGTAACACAGTAAAAAGTAAAAATGATATTAGGGTAAAAGTGTGAAAGGTGTAAATGTGTAACTGTGTGTACGAAGATGAATATGAGGAGGTGGTGCCTGCTGTCTAGGTATTCACGTGCGTGTTGTCGTACAGCAGTCACCGTGCTCGGCTGACACTCCGGGTTAGCTGTGGGTGTCGAAAGGCTGTTGTTATAGGAAGGGAGAATAAGAGTAACACCTAGGTATGAGGTGCAGACGAAGTGCAAGACACAAATACTCTGAAATGTCGAGGAAAAGAGTATATAGGTTAGAAAAGGAATAAACAAAGACTTTACTTTAAACAGTAAGCCGGACAGCGACAACCGAGTACTGAGACTGATGAATGACACAAGGCACTGGAGTCGACTGACCACGATGGTCAGGTCTATTGGGTTTTTATAATAATTACACTTATTGCCGATTTGGCAATAAATATTATTTGTTAATTCATCAGTCTCAGGCAGCGGATGTGCTGTCTGTATTTTATTAAAATAATTCTCACGATTATGAAAACGTGACACCATCACATCCACCCATGTCTTTTTGGTGCCACGTCCCCGTGGTAATGAACAAATAAATGAATATTTTATGAGAACAAAATAATTTAATTTAACTAATTTAGTTTACATTTTTTTTTTTTATATATATATTTTTTGATCCGCCTACTTTCCTACATTTGGTGTATGATTTGGTTGTGGAACGATATTGTTCTTTTTGCTTTTCTTTTGTAGTCCTTGATGTTTTGATTAATGATCAAGCTGTATAGATTGTTTTTAATCTTGCTTTGTTTTCAGAGGGGATTTGCTTGGAATAAAGCATGTTGGGTAGTAGGAAGTTTTTGCAGGGCTTGAAGTTTTATTATGTTACTTCTGATTTCGGTTCAATAATATTGTTTAATGACTTCTGACCAATCATATTTGACGTAACTTTGTAAATATAATCGTCGGGCTTTTTATTTCTTCCGCTTGAATCAGTTGTGTGAATGCTTTCGCTGTTATGCCCATGCACAATAGTCTCAACGCTGTGGTTTTTATCATCATTGTCTCTATTGTAGTACGGTTTTAGTCGTCTAATGTGTATGGTATCCTTCACGACATTTTTATTTAGGATTAGTTCTACTTCATAATTTACGTCATTTATTTTATTAATTATTTTAAATGGACCACGATATTGGTGGCCTAATTTTGCACATTGGTTTTTTATTATAAAAGGAAATTTGACTAAGACTAATTGACCTGGTTTGTATTCTAAGTGTTTGTGTGATAAATCATAGTTGATTTTCTGCGTTTTTTGAGCTTTTGCTATTATGTCTGGTAGTTTCATTCTAACATTATGTAAGTCTTCAAGCGCTTTCTTTAGGTCATGTGATAGAGGCTGAGGGATTATTTTGTTGTCTATAGGCTGTGCAGCATGAAATCCATGCATTAGATAGAATGGCGAAAATCCAGTTGTAGACTGCGGTGTAGTGTTGTAGCTAAAAGTGACAGCTGGTAAATAGTGTGACCATCTATTCTGATTGTTGTCTTGCATATAATGTCGTAAAGCTGTACATAGCGTCTCATTTGTTCGTTCTACAAATCCTTGAGATTGAGGCGAGTAGGCTGAGCTGAACTTCTGTTTGATGCCTAAGTTGTCACAAACTTGTGCCAGTTCCTTATTTTTAAAGTGAGTTCCCCGGTCACTTGTTATAGATCGAGGGCAGCCCCATTTGAAAATTAATTCGAAAAGGAATTTTATGACAGACTCGCCGTCTGCAGAGCGAACTGCTTTGGTGAAAATATACTTGGTCGTGTTGCAAGCTGCTACTATTACGTGTTTCTTTCCATTACTATTGCATAGTGGCCCGAGAAAATCAATAGTTACTCTAGATAACGGAGTTCCATCTATGACTGGGATAGGCTGTAATAATCCTGTAGGTTTCCCTGTGGCTCTCTTGATGATTTGATATAGGCTGCCGTGTCTTTCGAAAGAGAAGGCCAATAATATTTTTGCTGTAGCTTATGTATAGTCCGTGATATACCTGCGTGTCCTGACGTTGGACTTTCGTGGTATGCTTTTAATATTCTAGTAGTAACTTCTTTGGGTACTACCAGTAAGTTATAGTTGCCTATATTTTGATTATATGATTTAAAGTATAATACGTTACATATTATGGTGAATTTCCGTGATAGTCTATTTGTTTTCTTATCTGATTCTTTGCCTTCTAAAGCGTTTCGAATTGTATTTAAAATAGTAGAAATAGTATTTAGAAATAGTATTTCTTACTAGTTGTACATTTGAGGATTTTGAAATTGACAAATTTAAAGCATAGTTAGAGCACGGGCTATATATAGCATTTACACAGCTTTTTTGAATATTTTGAACAGCACCTCTTATTACTGAAGTTAGGGGTGACGGTATTTTTTTTTAATATCGATATTTCGGTATGATAATTTTTACCGGTATGAATCGGTATACCGAAAATATCGTTAAACCAGTATTTGGATACGGTAATTTCGATATTTCCGATATTACATAATAATATAATATTACATAATAACATTAATATGAATTAATTAATTTATAATAAATTTATAAAAAAAAAACAAGATCACAAATTATTATTTTATTTAATTATTTTGATATAAATTTAGAGTTCATAGATAAAAATATGAGTTCTTCGGCATGCTCTGTTGATAGAGATGATCTATGATCAGTAATTATATTGCCCGCACAACTGAATACACGTTCGCTTGGAACACTAGTACCCTGTACGCATAAATATTTTTTACTAAGTACGGCCAAAGTTGGAAATTCATTTTGATAGACTTTCCACCACTTTAAAGGGTCTGACTCTAAATTTATAGAATCCATATTTTATGTTCAATTCGATATAATCGCTAAGATGCAATTATTGTGATAAACAACAATAAAAACAAAATAATACGAACCCATATCGGTATTTAAGATATATATATTTAGTATTGTAAATATGTCATATATTTCTCACTGGAAATTTTGAACAATCTAAAAATAAATTAAAATATTCAATAACTAATTTCGGTTATCGGTATACTCGATATTTCGATATTTTTGGGATTATCAGTATATTCGATATTTTCGGTATATCGTATAAATAAAAAAGACGGTATACCGGTATACGATATACCGGTATACGATATACCGGTATATCGACCTCTAATCGGTATACCGGTAACACCGTCACCCCTAACTGAAGTCATTACAGCACATCCATCAGTCGCAATTCCAATACAATCATCTAAGTTTAGTGACATGTCTTTTAAAAAATTAACAGCAGTATTGCCTAAAATCTCACCAGTTAGTTTTGGCTCTAAATTTATGTTAATACAAGGTTCTACATTATCTTCTATATCATTACATTTTTGATACACATAATCATGGCAGTTAAAACATGAAGCCAATAAAACGTTCATGAACTTTATTTTCTTTATCAATATTTCTTAAACTTAAGCTCATTTGAGAATTGTGAGAAATATCTGTAGTTTCATCAAATATTATTGAATAATATTTGCTTTCTTTTATATCTTCCATAATTTGAAATAAAATTTCTTCTTTGCAGCACTGTATAATTTCTTCTTGAGATGTATGTTGCTTTTGGAGTAGTTGTTTCCAAATGATTTTTTAAAACTGTATCACCTGATAATATCCGAAACCTTAGAAGTTCACGGAAATTTCCTTCGTTAACTACAGATAAATTATTTTTATTATGCTCATGGCCTAACAAACTACCTTGGTCACGATGTCCACGTAAAGGAATGTTTTGACGTCCAAGAAAAATAACAGATTCAATAATAGGTTTTAACCTTGCTCGATTTTCAATAACTTGCTTCATTCTAGTACTATTAACTACATTAATAATTTCTTTTGCTGGATTTTTATAGCGAGTTAAAAAATCATGGGCAGTTTTTGTTGCATTTATATGGTAAAAGCTTTTATTGTGTTTGTTAAAATTACCATTTTCACCTAATATTTTAGCATATTTATTTAGAGGTACAGAAACCAGACTTTTTAAAGTTACATTCTTATCTTTTCCTCCTTTATGAGCAAAAAAAACACAGTATTTACAAAAAACGCCACCTTTTTTTTGAGAATATACAAGCCATTTATACTGAATAAAATGAACTCTTTTGAGATATCTTTTTTCTTGTTTACCTTGCTTAGTATGTAAACTAAAAGGATATAGAAAATCATTGTTAGGAACATTAGGTAATTCTAAAAACCTTGCTTTTATATGTTCAGTTTGCGTTTCTTTTTCTAAATAATCACCAATATCACAACTTAATTCAATAGTTGTTATTGAAATAGGAGAGATAGAAGGTTCTTTTGGTGGTTGATCATTTGTATTAATATGATCTAGAGATGTATAATCATTTGAATCTACCTGTGATACAAAAGATGTAGCAATTGAAGTTTGATCATTTAATTTGGTTTAGATCGTTTCTCTAGCCATGTTGTAATCGAACCACTATTTTTTCGTTTGTTATTGTTCATTATGTGCAATTACTAATTATTTTAAACTTAACTTCAATATTTCTGTCAAAAGTACCACTAGAGACGAGTTACCGCAAATAAAAATGTATAAATCGCAACACAAATCACAACGACACAACGATGAACCGTTCATCATGAACGAGCGTAAACGTATGAGTGAAATTATAACTAAAACTTTTTTTATAAGCAAAGCAAACGGATAATTATTAATTTTTAAACTAAGCTGTTAACTGTTATTGATATCAAAATGTAAATATATTATCAGGACTACCCGACTATAACCATCGGGCTCGGTTAAACATCGACCACGGTTCAATATACCACAATCTCAGTCTATCACTCTGTTGATAAAGAAAAAAAATATCAAATAATTTAACAGATAACAAATTTTAAGTAAAGAATTGTTAAACAAATGACTGTCATAGTGTAATAACTAAGTCCAACTCTCACGGGGGGGGGGGGGGATCGCCCCCCCCCCATAAAGACGCCCCTGGTTTTACCCAGCATAACGTATTTCGATGTGACAGAACCGGAAAAACTAGTCCTCATAGTTGTGGCGGAGGAGTTCTCGTCGCTATTAAAAAAACTTTAAATTCCAAATTGCTTAATATTGATACTTTAAACGTAGAACAAGTTTTTGTCAAAGTTTTAGTTGGTGATATTTTAATTATTTTTTGTGCTGTATATTTTCTACCTAATAGTGATTTACAGTTATACTTAAATCACCTCTCAGTCTTAAAATCAATTGATTCTTCTTTCCCGAATTGCAATTTTATTATTTGTGGCGATTACAATATTCCCTTTTTATCCTGGGAAAACGACAAGTATGGGTTTAAGTGTGTCAACTTTCTTGCTTCTCAAGTAGGAAATTTTCTTTTTGAGAGCTGCTCTTTGTTAAATTTATATCAATTTAATTCTATTATTAATTCTCATGGAAATGTTCTAGATTTAGTGTTTTCTAATTTCCTAGAGAACTCTATATATCTTCACGATGATCCGCTTGTCCCTATTGATCCTTGCCACCCTGCTATTCAAATTAGTGTTCAATTACCTATCGTCCAGCCTATTCTTAACAACGACAGGACAATTTTCAACTATGAGAAAGGCGATTATAATAATGCAAACCTATTTTTTAATTCTTTCAATTGGTTGAATACTTTTAGACACCTTACCACAGAGGCAGCGACTCTCATTTTCCAACAGGCGCTCTTAGAAACTTTACATTATTTTGCCCCTCTAAAAACCATTAGCACCTCCCATAATTTTCCTAATTGGTTTAACAAAGAACTCAAAATTCTTGTTTGGATGAAAAATAAAGCCCATTCAATTTATATCAAAAATAAAAATAAAAGGTAATTTTTATCGCAAACATTACATTTTTTTTAAATTTTCGACAGCCATTTGCACATAGAAGATAAGATGTCGGGACAAATTTTTTTTTTCATTTGATAGTATATAACATAACCTTTAATTTGATATATGTTTAAAGGACGCAGTATTTCCGGAACATTTTCAAAAATTAAGTTGAAAAAATTAATTTTTGTAAAAAATTTGCTATTTTAAATCCCCCCTAATGAGCAGGTTAAGTGATAGATTTTCAAAAAAATGATATCAAATGAAAGGTAAATATCTAAGGTTTTAGTATAAAAAAATATCATGTTGATTTGTTGATTTTTCAAAAAGTTATGGAAGTTTTAAGAAAAAGAAGTGAAAAAAAGCTGAGAAAAAGTGACAACAAACATAAAAAAAAAAAATAAAACACATCATAGTAAAATTAATACCTTCTCCGATTCGCATCGAAGCTAATAAATTTTAGCATCGATATTAATGTTTAGCTCGATGCGATTTGAAATATGTCATAATAAAAATTTTAATTCTACACCTACAACTTAAACAAAAGTTGTATTATTTTTTTTTTAGCTAGTTATTAATTTTACTATAATGTGTTTTTTTTTTTTTTTTTTTTTTTTTTTTTTTTTTTTCTTGCCACTTTTTCTCAGCTCTCACTGGACCGATTTCTTTCAAAAATACGTCAAAAGATCACAAATCGTATCTAGTTGAAGACATTACCCTTAAAAATTGAAAAAAATTCCCTCGTTCCCCGCAAATGAGGGAAATATCCAAAAAAATTACAAATTTAAAAATCGCTAATTTTCGAAATTTTTCCCCTTTTTTTTACTTAAAACTGCCATAACTTTTTTAAAAATTACCAAATCAATAAATTTTTTTTTGATAGTTGCATGATGTCTTTACCTATCATATGATATATTTTTTTTATAAATCTGACCCTTTATCTGCCCACGGGAGGGGATATAAAATGACAACTTTTTCACAAAAAGTTAACATTTGAAAGTCTTATACTTTTATATGTATCTTAAATTAAAGCGTATGTAACATACTTTATTATGAAAAATCAACATAAATTTTTTTTCTACTAACCTTAGATATTTCCCTTTCGTTTGATATCATTTTTTTGAAAATCTAACACTTAACCTGCTCATGAGGGGGATTTAAAATAGCAACTTTTTTACAAAAACTAACTTTTTCAACTTAATTTTTGAAAATGTTCCGGAAATACTGGGTCCTTTAAACATATATCAAATTAAAGCTTATTTTATGTACTATAAAATAAAAAAAAAAAATTTGTCCCGACACTTTATCTTCTGCATGTAAACATCTGCCGTAGTTAAAAAAACGCTATTTTTGTGTTAAAATTTTCGATTTTAAATTTTCAACTTAAAAATGTTACAACTTTTTGAAAAATGTAATTATCAGCACAAATTGTTTTTTCTAAATACATTATAAGTACATCTTTTATTTGACATACTTTTTATTAAAATTGGACAATTTTCCCTTATATAGGGGGCGTCCAAAACTTGAAATATTGTAAAAAACATAGATCTTTTTTAACTTAATTTTTGAAAATGTTCCGGAAATACTGCGTCCTTTAAACATATATCAAATTAAAGGTTATGTTATATACTATCAAATGAAAAAAAAAATTTGTCCCGACGACCTATCTTCTATGCGCAAATGGCTACCATATTAAAAATATGCTATTTTAACAAATTTTTTTTTTTAATTAAACGCTATCTACAGATTTGCATCGAAGCGTTTTTTATGATAGTGATTTTAATCACTGTCAGATATCATCTATAATGGACCCAACTATGCCACGACCCTACTGTGCCATCACCCCACTGTGCTGGGTTTTTTAATACTGATACTATTCGTTCAACTGCCAATAGTCATAATCTAAATAAACAAATCAACATAATATTTTTTTATACTATAACCTTAGATATTTCCCTTTCATTTAATATCATTTTTTTGAAAATCTATCACTTAACCTGCTCATTAGTGGGGATTTAAAATAGCAACTTTTTTACAAAAATTAATTTTTTCAACTTAATTTTTGAAAATGTTCCGGAAATACTGCGTCCTTTAAACATATATCAAATTAAAGCTTATTTTATGTACTATAAAATAAAAAAAAAAAATTTGTCCCGACACTTTATCTTCTGCATGTAAACATCTGCCGTAGTTAAAAAAACGCTATTTTTGTGTTAAAATTTTCGATTTTAAATTTTCAACTTAAAAATGTTACAACTTTTTGAAAAATGTAATTATCAGCACAAATTGTTTTTTCTAAATACATTATAAGTACATCTTTTATTTGACATACTTTTTATTAAAATTGGACAATTTTCCCTTATATAGGGGGCGTCCAAAACTTGAAATATTGTAAAAAACATAGATCTTTTTTAACTTAATTTTTGAAAATGTTCCGGAAATACTGCGTCCTTTAAACATATATCAAATTAAAGGTTATGTTATATACTATCAAATGAAAAAAAAAATTTGTCCCGACGACCTATCTTCTATGCGCAAATGGCTACCATATTAAAAATATGCTATTTTAACAAATTTTTTTTTTTAATTAAACGCTATCTACAGATTTGCATCGAAGCGTTTTTTATGATAGTGATTTTAATCACTGTCAGATATCATCTATAATGGACCCAACTATGCCACGACCCTACTGTGCCATCACCCCACTGTGCTGGGTTTTTTAATACTGATACTATTCGTTCAACTGCCAATAGTCATAATCTAAATAAACAAATCAACATAATATTTTTTTATACTATAACCTTAGATATTTCCCTTTCATTTAATATCATTTTTTTGAAAATCTATCACTTAACCTGCTCATTAGTGGGGATTTAAAATAGCAACTTTTTTACAAAAATTAATTTTTTCAACTTAATTTTTGAAAATGTTCCGGAAATACTGCGTCCTTTAAACATATATCAAATTAAAGGTTATGTTATATACTATCAAATGAAAAAAAAAAATTTGTCCCGACACTTTATCTTCTGTATGTAATCGGCTGCCGTAGTTAAATAAACGCTATTTATAGTTAAATTTAGTATTTGTTTATATAATTTATTTATAGTTAAATAATTTGCTCTTGATGATATCCCCCTTAACAACGAACAACAATATTCCATAGACTCATTAATTAATAAATATTCACATAGTTTTCAAGATTGTCCTGGAAAAGAAAATCCCCTTGATACTCTCTCCTGTCATCCCATTGGTCGTGATGACCAAACTCCTTTAGATCTTCCCGCTATAATGCATTTTGATTTTAAAAAACCTATTCCCCCCGACCCTTCTATACCTCCTGAAAATATTTTTAAGCTTGACATTCCTCCAGCCAGTCCCCTTAAAATCAATTTTTTTTTTTAAAAAAGTATATTCCTTCTCTCTAAAAGTCCTGTATGAGTATTCATAATGTTATAGTGTATATGATTTTAATTTTTTTTTTGTTAAAACATATTGTTTAATGTGTTGATGCACATTTTTGTTTCATCTTATTAATTCCCTCCCGTCTTGAGACTCATTTCCCCGTGTGTGGTTATGGTGGCATGG